GAGCTAATGGGAGCTCACCAATACCAGCTGGGCAGGGAAGAAACCAGCATAGGTCCAAACTTGTCCCTCTGAATGTGACTGACAGTTGTATGGCTGGGGCAGACTATGGGGCCACAGGTAGTGGCTCCAGGATTTATCCCTATTGCTTGTATTGGCTTTTGGGATCCTACCTATTCTCTTTAGATGATACCTTGCTCAGCCTAGATATAGTAGTGAGGACCTTGGACCTTCCCCAGAGTAATGTGCTTTACTCTCTCTGAGGCATGGATGGGGGCTGGGGTGGGAGGGTAAGTGGAGGGAATGGGAGGAGGGGATGAAGTGGGAACTTGGCTTGGTATATATATAATAAAAAAGATAGTTCATTTTCTTTTTTAAAAAATATTTCAAAAATCAAAAAAAAAAAGATTATCTTCAGCCAGGTGTTGGTGCATGCCTTTAATCCCATGAGTCAGGAGGCAGAAGCAGAAAGATCTCCGTGAGTTTGAGGCCAGCCTGGTCTACAGAGTGAGTTCCAGGACAGCCAGAGCTGTTACACAGAGAAACTTTGTCTCAAAAAAAAAAAAGAAAGAAAGAAAGAAAGAAAGAAAGGAAGGAAGAAAGAAAGAAAGAAAGAAAAGATTATTTTCAGACTATTTATAGATATATGTGGAACATAACAAGTTCAGAGTTTAGAATTGAACCATCTCCCGAACATCTCACCATGTGTGTGAAAATGTTCTAAAATCCAGATAAACAGGTAGCTATATTTGTTACTTCAGGCAGATCTAAGTCCTATGAGAAAAACAAAGCTAAACCAGAGGGCAGAGAGAAGGTCCCTGTGTAGTGCAAATTCTAATTGGTCTTAATAATAAAACCCAGAGTCAGAAATGGGGATTAATGCTAAAGATCAGAGAAGCAGAGCAACCAACCACTAGTTCTTACCCCTACTGAATCCTCAGACCAAGTGGGAGATCCCATCCCTAAGAATCCTCAAACTAAATGCCCCAAGCTCCTGTCTCCTCCTGCCTTGTATTCCTCTCTCCGCCCAGCCATATCACTTCTGTCTCCACCTCCCTAGTGCTGGGATCGAAGGTGTGAACTCTGTTTCTTCTTTAGGCTAATTCAGTCTTCAGTCTCAGGTAGCCCATGGTGGCCTTGAACTCACAGAGATCCTCTGCCTCTGTCTCCACTGCCTGACCTCTATAGCTAACTAGTGCAGTTAGCTCTGTACTCTGTTCTTCAGGCAAGCTTTATTTGTTACAGCACAAACAAAATATCACCACACACATCTGAGCTTCAGCCAGGCATGAAGCTGATGTGTCAGCAACAGACCGGATGCACCAAGGTCATAAGATAAAACATGGGGACTGGATACCATAGGCGGCCTGTAGGGGCCAGATTATACAGGCCCTTATTCCTACATTGTCAGAACTCTGAGTGACTTGCAAGGCACAATTTGCACCTTCCACACAGAAGGTGGTCGCCTAGCCTCTTGATAGTGAGACAACCTGACACCATCCTAAGCAAGTGGTCAGGATGTGCTAATGGTGTTCTGCTCCTTTGGTGCGGGAGAATTGTCTGCATTCTGTCAATCATGTTTTAAATAAACGTTGATTGGCCAGGCAGGAGGTATAGGCGGGAAAACCAGACAGGAAGTGGAAATGATGCAAGGGGAGCAGGAGAATTCTGAGGAGGAGGAAGTTGATTCCTCCCACTCCTGCCCAGATCACCAAAGCAGCAGGATGTGAGTTGCCCCCACTGAAAAAGGTACTGAGCCACATGGCTAACATAGATCAGAAAAATGGGTTAATCAAGATGTGAGAGTTAGCCAGTAAGAAGCCTGACCTAATGGGCCAATCAGCTTTATAACTTACAGAGATCTGTGTGTGATTTTTCTCTGGGACTAAACAGTTGGGGGGCCGGGCAGGACAAAAACTCAAACAAGCCAGTCCTTCATGTTACACTCCTTCTATGGTGTACGAGTTCCTGTTGTTTGTGTATTGCTTTTATTGGTTGATGAATAAAAAAACTGCTTTGGGCCTGATAGGGCAGAAATTAGGTAGGCGGGAAAGACAGAACTGAATTCTAGGAGGAAAAAAGAACAGTCAGGAGAGAAAAGCCATGGATCCTCTGCCAGAGATGGACACTGGTTAGAATCTCTGGTAAGCCACTGCAATACACAGATTAATGGAGATGGGTTAAACTAATATGTAAGAGTTAGCCAATAAAAAGTTAGATCTAATGGCCCAACAGTGTTTTAATTAATACAGTTTCTGTGTGGTTATTTCAGGTGTTAGCTAGCCAGGCAGCCGGGACAAACTAGGAGCCCTCTTCCTTACAACACTTCTATTGTAATTTAGGAGGTCACCTGGGGAAGAAATGTTTTTCAGTCTATGTAACAGAAGAGGCATAGGTATGGAGGTATAGCTAAGTCATTCTCCCTGCTACCTAGGAAACAGAATGCCAATGAACTTCCCCCCTCAGTTTACATTTTGATATAAAAACTGTTTGGAGAATAAATGAGGGTGATCTTCAGGATTTGAATGAACCATGACACTCCATCCCAATATTGTCGTGTGAACTGTGCCTCAATTATTCCCACACCTCCACTCTGGTACGAGAAATGGTTTATGTCTGGGCTGGCCCTCAACAGTGACCCACCAGTGTGACCTGCCCACCAATAAAACTCTTATCCTAAAAATCAAAGGGTGGAAATGTGATCAGAAATGCTTTTTTGCTTTTAAGACAGGGCCCTGGAGACCAGAGATGGCGCAGCAGCTGAGATCTGGTACTACTCTTAAAGAGGACCAAAGTTTGGCTCCCAGTGCACACATGTGGCAGGTTTCAGCTGCCTACAACTCCAGTTCCTGGGGACTCTGTGGGCGCCTGCATTCACATGAGCATGCATACATGCACATACAGACACAATAATAATAATAGTAATTTTAAAAGTGGACTATGCAACAATGATTAAAGAAGAGGTCATGAATTTAAGATAGAGAGGAGAAATGGGAGGAGTTGGAGGGGGAGTGAGAGGCAGAGTGATGGAGACACAGTGCTCATGTATGAATTGCTAACACTTCAGAGACATAGACAGAGGCATGCCTATATTATCTATATGAGTTCAAGGTCAGACTAATGTATGTAGCAAGTTTCAGGATAGTCAAGGCTACAAAGCAAGACCTTGTGTCTATAATAAAGCAATAAAGGAACAACAATAAAAAATAAACCAATAGGGATTGGATAAATAGCTCAGTGATTAAATGCATTTGATGAAAAGTTTTTGTGGCCCAATAAACCTCTCCACTGATGCAATAATCCAAATCAAACTGAATTAGAAAAAGCCCAGGTTTGATGGATACCATTGCTCCCAGGTGGCCTTCCACCCTCCCAGAGAGTTGACAAGGAAGAAGACCAGAAAACCACATGTTTGTTCTCTGGGGGACAGTTTAAATACCCTGTGGGAACGGTCTTGAGCATCTCTGAGGAGGGATCACCATTTGGTAGGCTTTCTTGGAGGTGGAGTCTGGACTGAGGCAATTCCCAGGGAAGGGAGCTTGGGATGGAACTTCCAAACATTTATTCATGCAGAGGTGCCAGAATTGGTCCCCGAACATCACTATCAGGTCACTAAAAACATCTACAACTCTAGTTCTAGGGAATCTGATGCCCTCTTCTGGCCTCCACTGGTACTGCATTGTGTGGCACACAAACACATATACACATAAATAAAAATAAATATTTTTATGACAGGCTTTCACTATGTAGCTTAGGCTGGTTCTGAACTCAGTTGTCCTATCTTAGCCTCCTGAATACTGAAACTAAAGCCATGTGCCACTCCACTCCCCTGCCCTGTGGTGTTTGTGGTTGTCAGTCAGGCTTCATGAACAAAGGGTCACAGACTGAGTGCCTTCAGCAACTGAAATCACTGTCTCGTGATTATGGAGAACAGAGGTATTGGGGGAGTTCCTGCAGATTCCTGCAGCTAACCAGATTCCAGAGTATTAGCACCGAGCCTTGATCTGCCTTTTATGACTGCTACCTTTTGTCTCCAGTACCTTATGTTTGAAGTGTGTAAACCTTATTTGAGTTTCCTAAAGGGTCGAAGCCTATGCAAAACTTGGCTGCAGGAGGAATTGGCAAACCAAGATGTCTCTTAACTGAAAAACTGCAATGGCATTGTCTCTTTGGGAAGCCTGGATAAGAGGTGTGGGCAGGCGGAAACTGACTTGCTGAAGGTGTGACCTGTATAACAATAAACTGAAAAATGACTGGTCCCTCTGCAGCTGGAAAGGTTAAAAAATCATCCATAGGATATCTCTGTGTCCTATTTCCACAGACCCATGTGAACCCACACCTGATGTATACCTAAAGGTACACAAAGAAATAAAATTTGGCAAGTGGACATATTTTATTTAACAAGATTTGGAAAGTTAAAATATATTCATTATACCATTGATACATACTCTGGATTTCAATGCACATCTGCCTTAAGTTCTGAAAACACTGATTCTGTGATTACATGTTTATTAGAAACAATGGCTGCAATGGGCATAGCAAATTAAAACTGATAATGCCCATTGGCACTCAGAATAAGTATCATTGGTATGATAAGCATATTTTAATTTTCCAAATTCTGCTAAGTGAAATACATTCTTTGCCAAATTTCATTCCTTTGTTTACCTTTAGGATTAGTTCCAGAGAAGATGTAGCCCAGCGGGAATGCTACCAGATCTTGGGTAGTATTGACTATAGATAGCCATACTTGAAAGGTTATATTTAGACATTAAAATCCATTTCCCATACAAATAGGAATTCCTTGTGCTCTCAAAGTATAAATGTTACTCTCTTTACCCTCCTCCATTGGCTGAGCAGGACCTCAGTTGTCATAAGGACCAAGCATTCAAGATTTATTAACTACTACAGGAATATCCTTATCTCCCAACTTACTGCTAAATTAGTTGGAGGACTAAGTATAAAGGTCCAGTATGTATAGTTGGCCCTGTTATTTGTATAGTTACCACAGATAGCATGGCAAGGAACAGATGTGTAGCACTCTTCAGCTATCCCAGGTGGGAGGATTAGTTGTCTGCTTCAGAAGCCTCTGTATCCTTTTCCCCCAGAGGCACGGCAGTTATCTCACCAACTGAAGCATCCAAGAGACTCTTGCTCACACTGGATTTTTATCAGCTTTGATAGGATCCACCATCTTTTACATCCTGTAGAAACATAAGCACACCCTCAGCCCCATCTCAACACTTTCCCTGGACTTCATAAAAACATTACAACATCTTTATAATATACTGGCTGACCCAATTCAGCAGGTGTTTTGTTTTTTTTTCCCCAAAATCCATTGTTCAGCAGCTATAGTGGCATATTCTTTGTGTTTTAATGAATAAAACCTGCCTGAAGGTCAGTGCAAAGCAGCCACACAGGCCAGGCAGTGGTTGCACATGCCTTTAATCGCAGCAGCCACACTATTTAACCATAGAGGTCTGGGGAGGGCACACCTTTAACCCCAGCACTAGAAAGGAATACAAAGCAGGGTGAAACAGGAACCCACTCTTTCTATCTGAAGATTTCAAAGAGGTGAGAGCCCTCTAGTGGCTTGGCTGCTTAATCCCTTATTAACCTTAAATTTTCTAAATGTTAATGAAACAGAGACAACAGCAGCAGAAAGGCATTGGACCAAGGAAAAATTGCTGATTTAAATCAACCTGTGTACTACAAGGATGTCATGACATCTGCTTGGAAAATGGGGGAGGTGTTACAATGGGTCCAAGTGTTATGATAATCCAGGCGGTACCCCGTTATGCTTATGTTTCCACAGAAGATAATAGATAGCAGATCCTGTCAAAATTGATAAAAATTCAACATGAGCAAGAGGAATCTCTCTGAGGCTGCAGCTGCAGAGATGCCTCCGCAAAACAGACAAAGGAGACCTTTGCAGCAAACGAGTAAGCCTCCCACCAGCAGACAACTGGGGAGTTTGTGGGAAAGGTGAGACAATTCTTCGCATGACTTACAAGCCTCTAAATGTTACAAATTTATTTCTTGCCATGCTTTCTGTGGAAATGGTGCATGTCGAAGGGATGGATCATAAGTATTGGGTTTTTATTCCCAATCCTCTAATTAACATAGCAGTGAGTGGGGGAGATACAGATATTCTTGTAGTGGTTAATGAATCTTCATGGCTACCTGGTCCATATGACAATAGAAGTCCTTTTCAGACAATAGAGGAGGGTAGTGTGATTGTCAATTACACTGTGGGAGTACAGGGAATTCCTGTTGGATAAGAAATGGAGCACAGTGCCTAAACATAACCTCCCAAATATGGCTATCCATAGTAATATTATCCATGATTATCATAACAAGTTTTATATGCTTCAAGAATCTGGCTTCAAATGACAGATTACTGCTACTAGTTCCATAAATCTATTGCTCTGTGAGATGAGGGTTACCAACAAGGAATCTGGGTGCATTGGCAACAGTATAAGAGTGAGGAGCCTTGCTGGGCATGAGTCTGGGACCTCTGAGGGAGTATATTGGAGTCAGAGAATTTTACAGGACCAACCCTAAGCCAGAGATCTCCTCAGGAGTGGATCCAGGCCAGGAACATTTAAAGAAACTGGTCTGAGGATCAGGACATAAGTCTGGGACCTCTGAGGAACTAGGCCTAAGCCAGGTCCTCTGCGGGTCTGGGCGCACTGAAGTCTGAGACCTCCAAGGGAGTAGATAAGAGACCTTTGCAGAGACCTTTGCAGGACCAACCCCCAGGCCAAGGACATCTGCTGGAGCGAATCTAGACCAGGGGCATTTACAGAAACAGGTCTGAGCCAACAACCTAGACCACAACAGGCCTGAGACATCAAACTCCAAGGGAGCAGAGCAAACCCCAGGAGTGCTGAGCAACCTCCAAGAACACGGAGTGACCAACAGGGTAACTAGAATCGTGGCACTGACTGTACCACAAGGAACAACCATCTGAGCCTTGGATCCACTGACACCTAGAAGATTAATCACCAGAATCACAGACAGCCCCAACCACACCAATTAGAGGAAAAGATGATTAGACAAGGTAAGAACACATGCAACACCACAAAGAGCAACACAACACCAATAAAATCTAGAGACCCTACAACAGCAAGACTTGAACAACTAAATATAGATGAAGTAGAAGAAAATGACCTAAAAAAAATAACTTAAGGAAAATGTTTGAGACTCTTGAAGAGGAAATAAGAAATTCCCACAAAGAAATGGAGGAAAAGACAATAAAATTTGGAAGACATCAGCAAATCCCTTAAAGAAAATCAAGAAAAAGCAATCAAACATATGAAAGAAATGGTTCAAGACTTGAAAACTGAAATAGAGACAATAAAAAAAAACAAGCTGAGGGAATTTTAGAAACAGAAATCATGAGAAAACAATCAGGAACCACAAATACAAACATGGAAAAAAAACAGAATATAAAAGATGGAAGTGAGAATCTCAAGCACTGAAGATACAATAGAGGAAATAGACTCATCAGCCAAAGAAAACATTAAATCAAACAAAAGTTTAACACAAAAAAATCCAGGAAATATGGGATACCATGAAAAGGTCAAACCTAAAAATAATAGTTATAAAAGAAGGAGAGGAAGTTCAACTCAAGAACACAGAAAATATATTTAACAAAATCATAGAAGAAAACTTTTCCAAGCTAAAGAGAGATATGCCTGTGAAGATACAAGAAGCATACAGAAAACCAAATAGACTGGATCAAAAAAAGTCCCCTCTCCACATAATAATCAAAGCACTAAACATACAAAGAAAGAATATTAAAAGCCAAGTAACATAAAAAGGCAGATCTATCAGAATTACATTTCTGTAATGTAAAAGACAACGAAAGCCAGAAGGTCCTGGTCAAGCGTTATGCAGACATTAAGAGACCACAGATGCCAGCCCAGACTACTATATACCCAGCAAAACTTTCAATCACCATATATGGACAAAACAAAATATTCCATGACAAAACCAGATTTATACCTAGCCACAAATCCAGCCCTACAAAAAGTACTAGAAGGAAAACTCCAACCCAAGGAAGTTGGCTACATCAACAAAAACACAGGCAATTGATGATCTCACAGCCCCAAATCCCAGAGAAGGGAAAACACACAAATTAACATCACCAACAATGAAAACTAAATTAACAGGAGATAGCAATCACTGATCATTAATATCCCTTAATATAAATGGACTCAACTCACCTATTTAAAAAAAAAAACCACTGGCTAACAGATTGAATATGAAAACAGAATCCATCTTTCTTCTCCACACAAGTAACACACCTCAACCTCAAAAACAGACATCACCTCAGAGTAAACAGTTGGGGAAAAATTCCAATCAAATGGACCTAAGAAACAAGCTATCTTAATATCTAACAAAATAGACTTCAAACAAAAATCAATCAAAAGAGACAAAGAAGGACATTTCATATGAGTCACAGGAAAAATTCATCAAGAGAAAAATCTCGAAACTGAACATCTAAGCCAGAAATACAATCATTTGCAAAAGAAACACTTCTAAAGCTTAAATCTCACATACATTAATAGTGAGAGACTTCAACACTCTCACCACTGGACAGGTCAGTCAGACAAAAACTGAACAGAGAAATAAGGGAACTAACAGATGTTATGACTCAAATGGACTTAACATTCATCTATAGAATATTCCATCCAAACAGAAAAGAATACACTTTTTCTCAGCACCTCATGCAACCTTCTCAAAAATTGACCACATACTCAGTAACAAAACAAACCTCAACAGATACAAAAAAAATTAAAATAATCCCATGTATCTTATCAGATCACCATGGCTTAAAACTAGAATTCTACAGCAACACTAATTCCAGAAAGCCCACAAAAATACGGAAGTTAAACAATACTCACCTGAATCATCAATGGGTCAAGGAAGAAATAAAGGAAGAAATTAAAGACTTCTTAAAATTCAATGAAAATGACTACACAACATACCCAAATTTATGGGACATAATGAAAGCAGTGTTAAGAGGAAAGTTCACAGCACTAAATGCCTACATAAAGAAGTTGGAAAAATTCCACACTAGTAGATTAACAGAACATTTGAAAACTTTAGAACAAAAAGAAGCAAACTCACCCAAGAGAACTAGACAGCAGGAAACAATCAAATTTAGAGCTGAAATCAACAAAATAGAAACAAAGAAAACAATTCAAAGAATCAATGAGACAGAGAGTTCTTCGAGAAAATCAACAAAATGGACAAACCTTTATCCAAACTAACCAAAAGGCAGAGAGAGAATATCCAATTTAACAAAATCAAAAATGAAAAGGGAGACATAACAACAGACATGTAGGAAATACAGAGAATCATCAGATCATATTTCAAAAACCTGTATTCCACAAAATTGAAAAACTTAAAGGAAATGGACAACTTTCTGAATTTAATTTTACCAAAATTAAATCAAGATCAGGTAAGCAAATTAAACAGACCTATAACTGCTGAAGGCATAGAAACAATCAAAGGTCTCCCAACCAAAAAAAGTCCAGGACCAGATGGTTTCAACTCAGAATTCTAAAAGATTTTCAAAGAAGAACTAATACCAATACTCCTCAAATTGTTCCACACAACAGAAACAGAAGGAACATTGCCAAACTCTTCTTATGAGGCTGCAATTATCCAGATACCCAAACCACAGAAAGACATTACTACAAAAGAGAATTACAGACCAATCTCACTCATGAACACTGATGCAAAAATACTAAATAAAATACTGGCAAATCAAATCCGAGAACACATCAGAACCATCATCCACCATGATCAAGTCAGCTTCATCCCAGAGATGCAGGGATGGTTCAACATATAAAAGTCTGTCTAGATAATCTACCATATAAACAAACTGAAAAATAAAAACCACATGATCTCTCATTAGATGCTGAAAAGGTTTTCGGCAAAATACAACATCCCTTCATGACAAAGGTCTTGGAGAGAGCAGGGATACAAGGACATACCTAAAGATAATTAAGGCAACATACAGCAAGCCAACAGCCAACATCAAACTAAATGGAGAGAAACTCACAGCAATCCTACTGAAATCAGGAACGAGACAAGGTTGCTTACTCTCTCCATATCTATTCAATATAGTTCTTGAGGTCCTAGTTAGAGCAATAAGATAACAAAAGGAGATCAAGGGGATACAAACCAGAAAAGAAGCCAAACTCTCACTGCTTGCTGATGATATGTTTACATAAGTGAGCCCAAAAATTCTACCAAGGAACTTCTTCAACTCATAAACACTTTCAGTAATGTAGCAAGATACAAGATTAACTCAAAAAAAAATTAGTAGCCCTCCTGTACACAGATGATAAAAGGGCTGGGGAAGAAATCAGAGAAACATCACCCTTCACAATAGCCACAAATTAAAATACCTTGGAGTAACTCTAACCAAACAAGTGGAAGACTTGTATGACAAGAACTTTAAATCTTTGAATAAAGAAATTGAGGAACACATCAGAAAGTGGAAAGATCTCCCATGCTCTTGGGTAGGCAGAATTAACATAGTAAAAATGGCAATCTTACCTAAAGCAATCTACAGATTCAACACAATGCCCATCAAAATCCCAGCAAAATTCTTCAAAGACCTTGAAAGAATGGTGCTCAACTTCATATAGAAAAGCAAAGAACTCAGGATAGCCAAAACAATCCTGGAGAATTTCTGGAGGCATTACAATGCCTGACTTCAAACTCTACTACAGAGATATAGTACTGAAAACAGCCTGGCACTGGCATAAGAACAAACAGGAGGACCAATGGAACCAAATCAAAGACCCAGATATTAATTCACACACTTTCAAACACCTGATTTTTGACAGAAGCAAAAAATATCAAATGGAAAAAAAAGCATATTTAACAAATGGTGCTGGCATAACTGGATTATCAACATGTAGAAGAATGAAAATAGATCCATATCTATCACGATGCACAAAACTCAAATCCAAATGGATCAAAGAATTCAACCTAAAGCCAGCCACACTGAACCTCATAGAAGAAAAAGTGGGAAGTACACTTGAATGCACTGACACAGGTGATCACTTCCTAAATATAACCCTAGTAGCACAGACACTGAGAGAAACAATTAATAAATGGGACCTTCTGAAACTGAAAAGCTTCTGTAAAGCAAAGGACACAGTCAACAAGACAAAACGACATTCTACAGAATGGGAAAAGATCTTCACCAACTCCACATCAGACAGAGGGCTGATCTCCAAAATACACAAAGAACTCATAAAGACCTAAACAGAGAACTCTCAACAGAGGAATCTAAAATGGCTGAAAGACACCTAAGGAAATTTAACATCACCATCCTTACTCAACAGAGAAATGCAAATCAAAACAACTCTGAGATTCCATCTTACACCTGTAAGAATGGACAAGATCAAAAACACTGATGACAACTTATGCTGGAAAGGTTGTGGGGTAAAGGGAACACTCCTGCATTGCTGATGGGAGTGCAAGCTGGTACAGCCCCTTTGGATATCAGTGTGGCGATTTCTCAGAAAATTAGGAAACAACCTTCCTCAAAACCCAATTATACCACTTTGGGTATATACCCAAAAGATGCTCAACCATGTCACAAGGACATGTGCTCAACTATGTTCATAGCAGCATTGTTTGTCATAGCCAGAACCTGAAAACAATCGAAATGCCCCTCGACTAAAGAATTAATAAGGAAAATGTGGTACATTTACACAATGTACACAGCAGAAAAAAATAACATCTTGAAATTTTCAGGCAAATGGATGGAGCTAGAAAACATCATTTTGAATGAGGTAACACAGACCCAGAAAGACAATTATCATATGTACTCATTCATAAGTGACTTTTAAACATAAAGCAAAGATAACTAGACAAAAAAATCACAATCCCAGAGAACCTAGACATCAATGAGGACCCTGAGACTTACATAGATCTAATCGACATGGGAAGTAGAAAAAAACAAAAATCTCCTGAGTAAATTGGAAGCATGGGGACCTTGGGAGAGGGCTGAAGGAGAGGGGAAGGGTGGGGAGGGGAGAAGAGAAAAATGTAGAGCTCAATAAAAATTAATAAATGTATGTATTGGCTAGTGAAAGTGTAAGATCTGAAGTTAACTTGCACAGCTTTGAAGTGCCTGTCTCAGCTCCATGGGTGTTTGCTAAAATGCATAGACTTTGGGTCTGGATAATTTTAATGTGTGATTTTTTTTCTTCTTTGCAAATTCTTTACAATAAAGTTTTCATTTAAAAAAAATTAAAAAAGAGTGAGAAGCATCATGTGCTAATTAATATCTCCCAAGGATGCCTCGTTGACTGGAGTCCTTATGGCTCCCCTCAAGGAAAATATTCTCGAAAATGGCAGCAGTATAGTTTGAACGGAACTTTAGAAATTAGTTCTTCCACTAATGAACCTATCTGAAGGCATGAAGTTGGAATGTCTAGATTCCTCTCCTGCAATCTGCCAATTAGATTCAGACTAACTTGTGGAAACTGGCAAGAGCCTTCCACCCTGTTAGGCACGGGAAGGAAAATTAAACATTAAAGATGATAAATAAACTTTTGTCTTTTAGAGAAATCAAAGCCAGCCTTTGATGGCATGTGTACCATTACCTTATATGCTAATGAAGGGGCTTGTACAATGGCACCCAAATAATTACAGCATCACTTGTGAATGCTGTACCCTTCATACCTGTGTTAATTCTAGTATGTCCTTAAACTTAACTTCTGAAAATTTATACATTCTTAGAGCAAGGCCAGCAATCTGGATACCAGTGAAGTTGCCGAGGCCATGGCAGGACTTACTTACCTGTGATGATCCTGGTACAGATGCTCGCTGAGGGAATATTAGAAAGAACATGTCAAATGGTTGGACTGGTTATGGCAGTTATTATGGGAATACTGCATTAACTGCTGCTGCTGCAAAAGCTGGAGTGGTGTTTCATGAAGAAATGCAAGCTGCTGAGTTCTTCAGACATAGGCATGAGCATTCTACAGAACTTTGGACTCAGCAAAATAAAATAGTGAGACAGTCAATGATATAGAGATTTGAGACAAGCTATTATACTTTTGGGAGATCAGTTAGAAATATTAAAGGAGCAGATAAAATTAAATGTGATTGGGATGCAACATCCTATTGTATTACACCTTTAAAATCCAATAATAGCAAGTACGACTGAGGAAAGGTTATGGGCACTTGATGGGTCACTCTAATTCTTCTCAAATGCTTTATGATTTACAGCAAGAAATTAAGGAGACTTTTACAAAAAAGTCACCTGATACAACAGGAATGGATACTACGGAAGGTCTTGCAGATACCATAGCCTCATTCAACCTCATATCACTTTAATTGATTTCTTGTTTTAGCAAGTGTTATTCTTGTTCTAGCAATAGTAACCTTACTGGCTGTAAACTGTTTGGGCTTACTTACATAATACTATAAAACAGATAGAGAAAAGGATAGATAATTTCCAGTATAATTAATTGTAGCATATACAAAAGGGGGATATGTTAGGGGATTTCCTTACTTCTACACCTGGTTTGATTCAGGAGTGCTGGCACCTAGCTTTGATCTGACTTTTGTAACTGCTAACTTTTGTCTCCAGTACCTTCTGTTTGAAGTATCTAAATCTTATCTGACAGTTTTCTAAAGGTTGAAACTGTTGAAACCAAAACCTGGTTGCTGGAGGCAAGATGTCTCAACAGAAAATTTGCATTGGCATTGTCTCTTTGGGGGGCTCAGATAAGACATTTTGGTGTATGGAAACTGACTTGCTGAAGGTGTGAACTGTGTAACAATAAGAAGGCCTTTTGTGGACTGGAGAAATGGCTTGGTGGTTAAGAGCACTGCCTATTCCTTTGGAGGTCCCGAGTTCAATTCCCAGCAACCACATGGTGGCTCACAACCACCTATAATGGGACCTGATGCCCTCTTCTGTCATGCTGGCATACATGCAAATAGAGCACTCATATGCAGAAAAAAAAATATGTTTTTAAAAAGACCCTTTGCAATGTGTTATTTTTTACTCTAGCCCCACATTGGAAGGCCAAAATGTTGTTAGTGGTTTTTTTTTTTTAATTATTCTTTAGCTATTTGGGGGGGCCCACCACCCAGCACCTAAAAAAAAAAGAATCACACACAAAGAGACTTATTCTTACTTATGAATGACCGGTCTTAGCTTGACTTGTTTCTTGCCAGCTTTTCTTAACTTCAATTATCCCTGACTACCTTTTGCCTCTGAGCTTTTACCTTATTTCTATATATCTCACTTTCACTCTTACTGCCTGGCTAGCTGGGTGGCTGGGCCCTGATGTCCTGCTCTGTTTTATCTTGCTCCTCCTTTCCCTCCTGCAGATTTCTCCTTCTATATATTCTTTCTGCCTGCCAGCCCTGCCTATCCTTTCTCCTGCTTCGCTATTGGCTGTTCAGTTCTTTATTAGACCATCAGGTATTTCAGACAGGTAAAGAATCACAGCTTCATAGAGTTAAACAAATGCAACATAAACAAAAGCAACACATCTTTACATCATTAAACAAATGTTCCACAAAAAAGCAACACGGCTTAAAACAGTATTCTACAACATCAAAGTGGCAGTGAGTCGGCCGGCCATAGGCTGAGCCCTGCAGCTGGCAAGGCTAAATTCATGCTTAGAGTGCCTCTGTGTCTTCTTCTCATGGACCTGCGTGAACCCACACCTGATACAACAGAGAGGTCCAGAATAAAGGTGCCCAGTGCAACTACTCGATTAGAACCAGTACACACTATATTGTGCCAGCCAGGACAGCTGGTGACATTTAGATAAGCTGTTTTCGGCTGTACAGTGTTGTGTATCAATATCTGACTTGGTTGAATATTATATTACAGCTGCTTAAGGAAAACACACTTGAGTATTTGATGTAAGAGATGAGACATCTGAACAGTCATATACGTAGGTGGCAGTATTTGAGTGTGCACAAATTCATCAATCAGGAGAATGATGACTAGGCAATTTAACAACTGGCGAATCAGGGTTAAGGATATAAAATTGTATATGATTTTTATAGTTTTTCTAAAAATTCTAGATTTCAAAACGTTTAATGTACACGATTAAAATCTCACTAGAGATAACTAAGCCCATACATCTGTACCTTTTAAAAATGATTCATCTTTAAATTGAGCATGCACACGCATGTGCACATGTGCTTGAGGCCAGAAGCACTGGAACCTCTAGAGCTAGAACCTCTAGAGCTAGAGATTGTGAGCCACCAGAAGTGGGTGCAGGTAGCAATACTAGGGTTCTCTGAAACAGGAGCACATACTCTTAACTGCTGGACTGTCTCTCCAGCCCACCTTCTGTATTTTGTGTGTGTGGTGTATGTTATGCTCTGCATACATGAACAGGTATGTATGCCCATGTGCATGTGTCTGGAGTTTGGAGGATGATTTAGGTGTCTTGCTCTGTCACACTGTCCCTGCTGCCTAGAGACATGGTCTGTCAGCAAGTCCCAACAATCCTCCTGTCTCCACTTGTCACAGCACTAGGATTACAGACCTACACATGGCCATACCCAGCTTTTTGCATGGGTACTGGGGATTCAAACTCAGATTCCTACGTTTGTCCAGCAAGCTGTTTTACCCACTGAACCATCTTTTCCAGCCTCATTTGTTTCTCTAAAAACACACATCTAGCTTTCACACTCTATGGTTTTTCAGGTTAATATACCCTGATCGACGTTCAGCAGTCATAGCTAATTCTGCCTCTTCTCATTTGATGCTTGCAGAGTTACCATTGGACTGCAAAACAGAAAGTCCATTCGCCAGCCAACCAATTACGAAACGATGATGCCATGAACATCTTACATACAGTTATGGCTGACACCAATTTACTTTTGATGATCAGAGACGCATGTACAGCCTTTTTCATTGTAATCTTCCATACTGCATGAAAAAAAAAAACCCCAGGATAAGTCCTTAGCTATAGGAAAGTCTTAGTCAGCAGTTTCGTTTTCCACACCTTTAGTCTTTAGTGAAAATAGTGCCCACTGTTAGTTAGAGAGAAAGTCAGCACCTGGCGAGTGCTGGTTCACCTGGTACCTTTTGGCGCACCGTACACTGAAAGATGATTGCTGATATTCATTCACAGTCTTGTCAAGATGATCACTGCCTGTGTTTCTTCCCTAAAAATGAGTTCTAGGTGTTACTCCGGGTATGTTATCGTTTTAATGGAGTAGATGGACATTTCCACAAAAGTTAAAAAAGTACCATGCTCTGGAGCCAAGGCAGGCCACAAATCTATCATCTTCCAGCCTCGGCCTCCTGAACGCTGGGTTCACAGGCATGCACGACCACACCCGCTCTGCTGCTTTCTCTAGGTATGGACGTTCCTAAGGCTTTGAAGGCGAGAACTGTGACTGAAGCCTTTCCCACACATGTCACATCTGTGCGGCTTCTCTCCAGTGTGAACTCTCTGGTGTGTTTGAAGACTTGAGAGCTGACTGAAACCCTCCCCACACTCCTCACACTTGAAGAGGTTCTCCTTCGTGTGAATAATCTGATGGACTCGAAGCTTTGAGGGGAAACGGAAGGCCTTTCCACACTCCTCACATTTGTGAGGTTTCTTTCCCATGTGGTCCCTCTGATGGTGGTGAAGGTCCGTGCTCGTGTCAAAGAATTTCCCACACTCCTGACATCTGAAAGGCTTCTCTTCAGCATGGCATCTCTGATGGTAGGTAAACTGAGAACTGTATATAAAGCCCTTTCCACACACATCACACTTGTATGGCTTCTCCCCAGTGTGGATTCTGTGATGGTAATGGAGGCCAGAGGAGCGACTGAAGCCTTTCCCACATATATCACACTTGTATGGTTTTTCTCCAGTGTGAACTCTCTGGTGAGCTTGAAGACGCAAGCGCTGGCTGAAGCCCTTCCCACACTCCTCACACGTGAAGAGTTTCTCCTTCATGTGAATGCTCAGATGGACTCGAAGATTGGAGGGCAGACTGAAGGCCTTTCCACACTCCTTACATTTGTGAGGTTTCTCTCCTGTGTGTATCCTTTGATGGTGGCGAAGTTCTGTGCTCCTGCCAAAGCCTTTCCCACACTCCTGACATTTGTAGGGTTTCTCTCCAGTATGGCATCTCTGATGGTAGATAAACTGAGAACTGTACCTAAAGCTCTTTCCACACACATCACACTTGTATGGCTTCTCCCCAGTATGAACTCTCTGATGGGAATGAAGACCAAATAAGCGACTGAAGCCTTTCCCACACACCTCACACTGGTGTGGTTTTTCTCCAGTGTGAACTTGCTGGTATGCCTGATAATCAATGAGCTGACCAAAGCTCTTATCACACTCTTCACATTTGTAGAGTTTCTTCTCTGAGTGGACTCTCTGAGAAGCGTGATTCGACCCACAACTGAATCCTTTCCCACACTCCTGACTCTTAGACGGTTTCTCTCCAGTGTGTGTTACTTGGTATTGTTTAAGATTTGAACTATAGCAGAAGCCCTTCCCACACACTTCACATTTGTATGACTTCTCTCCAGTATGAACTTTCTGATGGGTGCGAAGCCTCGAGGACCAACTATAGCCCTTCCCACAAGTTTCACATTTGAATTGCTTCTCTTCGGTATGGTTACTCTGATGGACTTGAAGGTTGGAATCCTGGCGGCAGCCTTCCCTGCATTCCTTACGCATACAGGGCTTCTCTGCAGTGTGAGCACGGGAATGGGCATGAAGATCTGCATTTCGGGTGAAGCCTTTCCCACACTCCTCACACTTGTAAGGTTTCTCTCCCGCGTGAGCTCTGCAGTGAACGATGAGACCCTTGCTACTGCTGAATCTCTTCCCACAGCTCTCACATCTGTAGGGCTTCTGTCCTTTGTTGCTTTTAAGCTGCTTATAAAGCGATGATTTCTTCTTCGAATCTGCAAACACACACGGGTCACATTTCACACAGACTGCCTTATTTCTGCTCTAGTTCTGTGAATTATGCAGACACTTACTTTGACAATGATTATGAGTTCTTGAAACTGAAAAGTCTTCATGTTCAAGGCAGCTGGAGCTATCTCCTTTGTGATTCCCTGTACTGTCGCTGTTGTCAGAAACCAGAATGGAATCATCTTGCAGTGGTTGAGAACGCCTCCTCTGAAGACACCTGGTCGATTCCCGCACAACCTGTTTCCAGATGCTCCAGCAAGACAGCTCTTCCCAGGAAAGATGTTTCAGTGCAAGTTTCCCAGTAGTCGCCGAGTCATGTTGACTCCTACTGCCTGTAAGAAAGCAGTCGTGGGGTGGGAGGGTTGTTGGAAGGGGAGAGGGTTAGAGAGAAGGGAGTAGGGGAGGAATGGGGAAAACTCGGGGGACTGGGATGGGGGGAGGGAGGAAGGATGGATATGGGATCAGGGAAGAATATATCTCAACTAAGGGAGTCATTTTAGGGTTTACAAGAGACTTGATTATAAATGGGATCCCAGGTCCAAGGAGAGATCCCCAGATTGTTCTCTGGACAGAGGAGAGGGTGCCTGAACCGGCCTTGGCCTATAACCATACTGATGAATATTTTGCTTATCACCATAGATCCTTCATCTGGCGATGGATGGAGATAGAGACAGAGACCCACATTGGAACACTAGACTTAACTCCCTAGGTCCAAACGAGAAGCAGAAGGAAAGAGAATGTGAGCAAAGAAGGCAGGACCAGAGGGAAACTTCATCTGACGATGGATGGCGATACAGACGGAGACCCACATTGGAGCACTGGACTGAGCCCCCCAAGGTCCAAATGAGGAGCAGAAGGAGGGAGACCATGAAAAAGGAAATCAGGACCACGAGGGATGCGATCACCCATTGATACAAGGGGACAGATCTAATGAGAGTTCACCAAGGCCAGTTGGACTGGGACTGAACGAGCATGTGATCCAACCAGATTCTCTGAATGTGGCCGGATTCTCTGAATGTGGCTGGCCCGGAGTCTTTCTGAAAAGCCATTGACAATGACACTGGGACTTGTTTCCTCTGCATATACTGGATTTTTGGGATCCAGTCTGTTTGGATACCTACCTTCCTGGACCTGGAGGGAGCGGGGAGGAACTTGAACTTCCCACAGGGCAGGAAACCCTGACTGCTCTTAGGGATGGAGAGGGAGGAGGAGGGGGAGTGAGGGGAGTGAGAGGGTGTTGGGAGGAGGGGTGGAAATGGAAACTTTTATAATTTAATAAACTTTAAAAAAAAACAAACAAACAAAAAAAAGAAAGCAGTCGTAGAGATGAGGACAGGTTATGGGAAAAGGCCAGATTAAGGGCATGGGTGAGACCCAATCCAGGTAGGGCAAAGGTCACTCTGTCCTTACAACATCACTTGTCCTTTCCTCAGATCTTCCTGGATGTGGAGCAAGGGTGACTCACAGTGTTCGGTGGACCCACTTACAGACTCTGTCTGGTGTGCACCATCAGTGCTACAAGGGCTGGAGAGATGGCTCAGTGCTTAAAAGCACTTGCTGATCTTCAGAGGACCTGAGTTTGGGCTTTGGTACCTACATTAAGGGACTTACAACTCCATGTAATTCCAGCTACAGGGAGTCTAGCTCCACGGGCTCCATATGCATGGGGCATACAAACACCAACATTTTTTAAAATTTAAAAATGAAGAAACACAAAACAAAATCATGAGTACTGGGGCACAAAGACTATCCATGCATCCATGCTCTAATACACAATGACATCAATTAAAAGTGTGTTCACCCTTTTTCCCTAGAACTTATGCAAATGGGACTCTATCAAATTTCAGGTAAAACCTTTCAAACTTTGTTAGGCCAGTGGGCAGGAGTAACAACAAGGATACACTATGGAGTGGACCTGGGAAACCGGTAGCATGAGTTCTCACCAGGATATCTACTTCTCTGGGCTTCTGTTTCCTTCAGCCAAAGCCTTTCTTCTGCTTCCAGTAGGGACACCACCCTAAGAAAAGACAAAACAAATACATTTAAAGTGAACACAAAATTAAAGCACGTTGGTGTGGGAGAATTGTCTGTATTCTTTCAATCATGTATTTTAATAAAACGCTGATTGGCCAGGCAGGCAGTATAGGCGGGAAAGCCAGACAGGAAGTAGAGGTGGAGCAAAGAGACAGGAGAATTCTGGGAAGCAAGGAGGTTCCTCTGCCACTCCTGCTCAGACCACCAAGGAGGCAGCATGTAACTTGCCCAGCTGAAAAAGGTACGGAGCCATGTGCTAACATAGATAATGATAATGGGTTAATGTAAGTTACAAGGACTAATAAGGAGCCTGACCTAATGGGCCAATCAGTTTATAACTTTATGGAGTCCTGTGTGTGATTTTCTTTGGGCTTGCCGGCTGTGGGGTACTGGCGGGACAGAAACCCCAACAAGCCGGCCCTCATGTTACAGCACGTTTTTGTCTAAATTACAAAATCCTCAGCACCTGTGTAATTAATTTTAGAAATGTTTTGATCACGAATTGCACTGAGAAGCCAAGGGCTGGGCAGGAACAGCTCAGAGGCTAATTGCACTTGCTATTAGCAGGAGGACTTAAGAGCGGCCCCCAGCACCCATGGGAACAGGCCATGCATGGTCTCCTGATGGCACCTAATACCTCTGCTGCTTTGGGGGTGATCACTGGGGCTTGTTGGCTGCCAGCCACAGGTTTGGGAGGGACCATGCCTCAAAGAAATAAGGCAGACAGTAATAAAGGAGGATGCCTGATGACCTTCATGTGCACAGACACCCAAACACACAAAGATTTGAAGGGAACTTCAAAAGTTAAAAGAAATCAAGGTCATGGCTGTGCATGTATGACAGAATCTGTTCCATCATGTCTTAACCTTCTCTCGCATCCCTCACTGGAAACCACCAGGCTCTGCTGCATCAGGCCCTCCAAAACAGATTCTGACATCCTATCCTCATCTAGTCTATTGCAAAGAAAATCTATGCCAAGCAGTGGTGGCACAGGCCTTTAATCACAGCACTCAGGAACAAGAGGCAGGCAGATCTCTGTGAGTTCGAAGCCAGCTTGGTCTACAAAGCGAGTTCCAGGACAGCCAGGGCTACATAGAGAAACCCTGTCTTTAAAGAAAAAAAAAGAAACTACTACTATATTGCACCATGCTTTTTTTTTTTAACCTATTAATGGATCACAGGTAAAATTAGAAAGACAAAGTACAAGGCTGAGGCATGACTCAGTAGCAGAGCCCCTGCTTAGAATCTTCCAGTGAGGGGCCTGGGTGTGGCTCAGTGGTAGAGCCCCTGCCTAGAATCCCCCAAAGGAAGGGACTGAGGATGTCAATCAGTGGGATTACACTTGCCTAGAACTCACCAGAAAGCTGGGAACATGGCTCAACAGCAGATTCCTACCTAGCATACACAAGACCCTGTATTCTAGTCTCAGAAAAATCCACAGTATTGAGTTAAGCTGTTCATTTGTGGCTCATGTGAAAGAGGGTGTGTCGTCCTCGTCTGTCTCCCCCCCCCCCCCACCCCCCCCCCCCCCCAAAAGGACACACAGGATGGGAGATCATCCTGCTGTGGGAGCTGTCTTGTGCCTGGCTACTAACTGCTAAATGTTAGTAGCAGCCATCCCTGAATTGTGAGAAATATGTCTGCTGTGGAATAATTCTTCTGTACACTGTGAATACATATTACTCTCATTGGTTAATGAAGAAGCTGACAGGCCTATAGCAAGGTATGATAATGTTAGGTGGGACAATCAAACAGAGGATACTGGAATGAAGAAGGGCGGAGTCAAGAAGAAGCCAGTCAGCTGTGGAGGAAGCAAGCCATAAGCCATGTAGCAAAGCATAGCTAAGAAATAAGGATTAATTTAAATGTAAGAGTTAGGTAGTAATGAGCCTGGACTATTGGCCAAGCATTTATAAATAATATTAAGCCTCTGTGTGGTAATTTGGAAGTGGCTTCGGGGACAGGAAAACTCCACCTGTTACATGAGTCCAGACATCGCCGAATGTTCTCTAACAGAAAATCTAGCTGAGAATCAGCAGTTTTAAAAGATTTTGACTGAGCAGAAACATCAGAAAAATCCTTTTTGTCCTAGGGAATCCTTTCAAATGATCCAGAGCCTTGAGCATCTGAGGACAGAGAGTCTCTGGGAGGCTGAGGTTCGGTGTCACAGGACACCTGTCCTCACCCACAGCAACCAGGTTCTTGAAGTTCTCCAGCATCACGTCCTTGTACAGCTTCCTCTGTGTGAGGGTCAGCAGCCCCAGTTCTTCTGCAGTAAACACCAATGCCAAATCCTTGAATGTCACCCCCTCCTGTGACATCAAACAAAAGTAACTTCGATCCAGCTCCTACGGAAGAGGAGAAATAGAGAGGACAGGGTCACATGGGTGCTGCAGACTCAGAGGGGTCCGAGCAGACTGAGCCAATAGTTGTTCTGCACTCACACCCCTTCCCAACAACAGTCTAAACTGACTCTACTACTCCTTCCTCTGTGTGTATGTGTACATGTGTGTTTTCTTCCTTGAGAGTGAGGTGAGAAAGGGTCCCATACAGCCCAGGTTGTACTCAAATTCAGTATCACAGAAGATAGATAACCTTGAACCTCTGTTCCTCCTGGCTTTACCCACAGCACTCAAAATTTTTTAGCCATGCACGCCAGGCCTGGTTTTCATTTTAGCCATGCATGCCAAGCCTACATGCTATACAGTGCTAGAGATGAAAGCCAGGGCTGAACAAAAATGAAGGAAACAGATATAAACCTGAAAAAAAAATGGACTGCAAGAGGTTATGGGAAAACAACATGCACCTATTTAGTACCTTTGGTGTTTTGTTTTCTTGGAGACAGGAGCCTAGTATCCTGGCTGGCCTGGAACTAGTTATGTAGACCAAACAAGCCATGAAGTCAAAGAAATTGACCTGCTTCTACCTCCACAGTGCTGTGATCAAAGGCTTTCACCATGACATCGGGCCACTTATAATGACAAAGTATGACTGTGGTTTTGATAAAAGTCAGGCCTGTAATCTAAGCCCCTAAGACACAAACAAGAAAGACACTGTTGGGAGGTTGGGAAGTTAGCTCAGTGATAGACTGATTTGCCTCCTGAACACAAGGCCTTGGACCTCACTGACACTTAAAAAGACATTGTCAAATTTTAAGTATCTTTGTATTCTCTGTGTTTTCCAGAATGAGAATACATGCTGATTCAGTTTTATATTTTTGCAATAAGTAACCACCCCCCATTTTTCCAGTGTGTATGATGTGCATGTGTACGGATATTTTTGCATGTGTGTATAGTGGGAATTTAGCAGAGTCATTGTATCTAGGGTAACATTAGAATGTAACAGTTGTTTCTCACTGAGTCTAGGGTAGGAGTAGAATGTATTAGTGCTTGTTGGAGGTACCTAGCCCTTGAGGAAACTATTGTAGAGCACAGTGACTGTTTTCTATGGTTTATGGAGTTGATTTTCCATCTGTTGCATGACTTTGGTCTCCAGACTATCCAGGCACACCTGGAGCAACTTGAATTATTGGGTACTGAGAACAGCACACAATAAGGACTAAGGCTGCAGGGGTCTGATGGTTTCCTTCAGAGAGCATAAGTAGATCAACGGGACCTTGGTATGAGGAATTTGTTGTAATCCAAACACAACCTTTGTGTGTCAATTAACAAATATATTTCTGAACAGGGGTTTGAGGTCAAGTTCACAAAAACGGTTCCTCTCTGTGGCCAGTGAGCCTAAAATTACATTCTGGAGTGACTCTCCTTGGAACACCCCACAACACACAACACCCGACATGTATGGACACCCACGGATGTGGAGGCCTGAGGCTGAAGTCAAGAATCAACCTTCCTTTTCCATCTCATTCATTCATTGAGAGGTAGGGTCTCTCAATCAAACCCAGAGCTCACTGATAAGGGCACTCTTGCTAGGCAGTTTGCTCTGGGGATCCCATCTCAGCTGCCTAAGGCTAAGCTCACCTGACATTTACATGGGTTTCCAGCGATCTAAACTCCAGTCCTGGATCACTTTAACCCTGGATCCACCTCCCCAGTCCTAGATATCAGTTTGTATAAGAATGACACAGACAACATAAATTCCAAACCAACTGACAGTAACTAAAAGGGATAAAACTAAGGCATGAAAGGTGAACAGGAGGAGGCAATGCAGGACCTGGCACGTTAAAAACATATATACATGGGGCTGGAGAGATGGCTCAGCAGTTAAGGGCACTCACCGTTCTTTCAAAAGTCCTGGGTTCTATTCCCAGCAACCACATGGCGGCTCATAACCATACATAATGAGATCTGGTGCCCTCTTCTGGCCTGCAGGTGTACATGCAGGCAGAACACTATATACACAATAAATAAATCTTTTAACATGTATATAGAAATATGTATGCAATACAGAGGGGGAGGTTATTTTCCTAATCATTCAACTTAAGAAGTGGCTTTGTACTTGAACTCAAGCAATCCTAATATAAATGCGTATTAACAAGACGTATTAACGAGTAGACTGACCACAGGTTTAAAAAGAAAAGCCAGCTATATTCTTTCTAATTACATAAGGCCCTGTTAAACGAAGTGTGGTGACTCACCTGTAATCCCAGCACTGGGGAGGTAGAGGCACAAAGATGACGAGTAAGAGGGACAATGGGAGAGGCTGGAGAGGTGCCTCGGGCTTTAAGAGCACTTGCAGACCTTCCAGAAGAGCAGAGTAAGTCTCCAGCATCCATGTCAGCACAACAACCGCCTGGAACTTTATCTCTTTCCCGCCCTCCCCCCACCCACCCAACACGCACTTAAAAAATAAATAAATATAAATAAATAGAAAACCAAAACGCCTGGAACCCGTACTCTAGGAATCTGAAGGCCCCTACTACTAACTTTCCTCAAGCACCAGTGCATATTCTCTCTCTCTCTCTCTCTCTCTCTCTCTCTCTCTCTCTCTCTCTCTCTCTCTCTCTCTTTCTCTCCCCCCCCCCC